TATGGGTAGAGTGTAGAGTGGGGTTAGAGGGAGGAGGGCTTAGGGCTAAATGTGAGGCTGGAAAGGGAAGCAAGAGCCAGATGTTAGAAGTCCATAATAAACCAATGGTTAGGCTTCGTAGAGGACACTGGGGTGCATTGAAATGCTTAACATTGAAGTAGGGTCAGCTTGGCGATTAGTGGCAGTGCCAAGGAGATTGGAAGAAACTGGAGGTAAAACCGTTAGTTGGAAGATGATCCCTTGAGTGTAAGCAGTGGACCTAGGGCAAGAAGAAATAGGAAACAGTAGGACTTGGTTGATGATTGTTAGGCCAGGGGAAGGAAGTATGAGGAAGTGTCTTGTATGAAATTTCAGATGTCTGGCTTGAGAAATCGAAGGCACTGCCAAGGCAGAACTGGTTTGGGGAGAAAAATAGTAAACTCTCAGTTCCGAACAAGTTTTTTTTTTTTTTTTAAGATTTTATTTATTCATAGAGACACACAGAGAGGGGGGGTGGGTGGGGCAGAGACACAGGCAGAGGGAGAAGCAGGCTCCATGCAGAGAGCCTGACGTGGGACTCGATCCAGGGTCTCCAGGATCATGCCCTGGGATGCAGGCGGCGCTAAACTGCTGCGCCACCAGGGCTGCCCCCGAACAAGTTTAATATGAAGTATTTGTAGGTAGATATGCTTAGAAGCCAGGCAGAAATATGTCAGTAGAGCCAATGAAGAGGTCTGGCCTGAAACTACAGAGGTGTATGTGTTCCTCAGCCTGTGTTGGTGGTTATTGAAGCTATGAGAATAAAGTTGTGTAGGGTAAGAAGGTGTAGAGGGAGAAGATAAAAGGTATACAGAAAGAAATGAACTGACAGTAGAGGGACTGCCAGAGGAAGATGAACGTACAAAGGAAGAAAAAGAGGAGTGGGGGGAGAACCAATATGGTGTCTTGGAGCCAGAGGAGGAGGCAACTCCCAGGAAGGCTGTGATCAGAAGCATCAGCCGTGCGGAAAGGTTGGATGAGAGGCAGAAAATGAGTTTGTTAGATTTAGCAAGTGGGACATACTGCTAACCTTTGTCAAAGCGATTTCAGTGAAGTACTGTTGGGGGGTGGAGGAGATGAAAAATGATTACAGTTGGCTTCAGTAAGGAGATTAAGGAAGTTGATATAGTTAAGTATAGTATTTTGTTTTTTCCACCCCAAAAAAATTTAACTGTAGAGCAAATACATTAGATGGGGTAGTGGTTAGGAAGAGAGACTTGACTCTACTTACAGATTATGATGAAGGAATCAGCAGATGAGGAGAGGTTGAAAATACAGAAGAGGAATAACATTCTCTCATTAAATATTCGATCATAGCCAACTATATTTCAGCTACTGATGTATAATCTCTGGAGGAGGTTCCAGTGATAGAATCGAGAGTAGCAGGGGAAAAAAAATACTCTTCTGATGCTGGGACAGAGGTGATACGGACCAGATATGGATAGGTTGAGACGAGATACTAAGGGAAAGCTTAAACCTAACAGTGTTGATTTTTCTCTGTGAAGTAGGAGGCAAGGTCCTGGGTGGGAAAGAATTGAAGGCAGTGCCTGCAGATTAGTGAAGGTTGAGATTAGCCATTGTGGGGAATGGAGTTTATCAGGCCAACCATCTGGATTGCAGAACAGCCTTTAAGGTCCAACAGCAGTTGGAACCAAGAATCTGGGACCCCCAGACTATACGGAGTCTGCGATTTTCTCCTGTGGTCCTTCACATCCTGGTAGAGAAGCAAAGAAAACAGTTGTCAGGGTTGGTTTATTAATAGTGCTGCCAAGTAAGTGGTTAAAGGCTTGTGCTATGAGGTCTAGTCTGGAAATGGATGACGTAAGTCCAGAAACAGAAGATTGACCAGGAAGGAAAGGTATTGGAAGTGGCGTCAAATGAAGGCACATCCATACTAGGTAGGGGACAGATGTGAGACTCTTGGAACGACCGGAACTTGTGCCCACATTTCTTACGTGACACAGGACATTGGAAGACATAAGCTGTGCCCCTGGGAGGCAGAGACTAAAATGGAAGGCAGGTGACGATCAAGGAAGGCCAGGGAATCAAGATGTTTGCTTTGGATCGAGGATCCAAGTGGGCATCGCGGTGACCAAAGGTGTAGTCGCAGTCGTTGGGATGAGGAATACTGTCAGCTGGGTGTCCTCAGTGCATGAGGTAGAACCCCTCGGAGTTAAAGAGGTGGAAGGAAAAAGAGGGAAGTAAGGGTTGTCTCTTCTGGGTGGCCACCCACCGTCTTTCTGCCTCTCTCTCACAGACCCCTCTTGAGCTACCTGTCGCTTCGTAGTTTGTAATATTCTTAGTTATATGATCTCCTCAGTCTCACATTTATTTCTTTGTTAGTCTTTCTTCCCCCGCTGGATTGTGAGCTGTACAAAGTCAGGTTCCGTGTATATCTCGTTTCTTGCTTTATCCTGACCACCTAATAAAGTGCTTGGCACACAATAAATGCTCAATAAGATCTTATTGAATGAATGGAGACAGGAGAGTCAGAAAGGAAAGAAAGGTCAGAAGGTCAGGAAGGAAAACGAGTCATTCTCTCACTTCCCATCCTGGACAGTAGGCCTTCCCTCCTGCATTGGTTCTTTTCCCTGATTTACCCTCCGTGTCCTCAGATGCCAGCATGATGTTTCTACTCAAGATGAGTGCGGATCACTACTCAAGCATATTTCCATTTTATGGGACCTTCTTTTCTTTTTTTTTGGGGGGGGGGACCTTATTTTCGTATTTTATTTGTTTATTATGTAACGGTTTAGGAAAACCTTATCAATAGGTTATTTGAGTCATAAATACCCTGAGGTACGCATATTTTATATCGTGTATGATTTTATACCATACGACGTGTCAGAAAACTCTTTGGAAAAGGTGAATCTTTATGACAAGATGAACTACATTTCCGATGGAAATTGAACCACGTAAGAAGGAGAAAAAGCAAACGTGGTACCGCTCCGGCTCCGTCTACTGTAGGGTTCCTGATTGTCCCGTCCGTCGCCCAGAGGCAGTCCTGAAGGAGGGCGGAGATCAGCCGCGGCCCAGCTGCCTCCCCACTGCTTCTCCCCTTACCGAATTCTTTCCTTGCCCCCCTCTTTGTTACAGCTGGTTCTCATCTTCCACTTTGGAGAGCCACAGAGCCTTCGTCTCTTCAACTAAACTCACCTCCATCTATCTTTCATCTTCGTCACTTTTCTTCTCGGGGCAGGAGAACTTGAGGACCATTTGCTACAGTAGGTTAGAAGGTTTCACCCAATTCTGACCTATTAGGCTGGAAAGATCAGGTTTCTGGCCCGGGTTGAAGGATGTGGTGGTTTTATTCAGTCAAAAATTGCCCTTACGTCTACCAGTACACTGGTTAAATAGAATTTTTGTACCACAGTTCTATTTTTTCTGTCATTTTTCTGCTGCTTTTGTCATTTTTGTCTCTAAACAAAATATCTGACAAGTAGGTGACCTGTTAGAACACATTACCTCTTAAATAGAAGCGTCATTATAAATGCTTTTCCTGCTGTTTTCTGTATCGTGTATAATTGGATATATTTGTTTTTATTTTAATGAGTAAAATGCCAACCTCTTTCTGATTTCAATTTCTCTTAGGTCGCCATAATAAATATAAGTGCCTTGGGTATTGCTCTACCCCTTTAGGATTTTTAATGCTATCGTCTGCTGCATTCTAAGGAATATAAATTAAAATCCTCAGACCGTCTCAGTGGGTGTAACATTTCCATTAACATTTACTACACGCTAATAACTGGCCAGAAAGAATCAATGCAAGTTTTCAAAATATCTAAATTATTCCTCATGACATACAGAGCAAAAGAATCTTAGCTCTTCCTCTTGATTTGGCTTAATCATCTGTGAAAGACCACGTACAGTGCTATAAGAAGAGACATAGTTTCGTAAACTGATGGCAGTTGGAATCGAGAATGAAATCAGATGGAAGGATGTATTTCTTTAATTTATTGAAGTGTGCTTATTTTCTTTGATGTAAGTAAGTAAACGTCAGCTCTCTCATCTATAAAGTGAAGAGACTAATACTGCTTCATGCAGTTGAGGATGAGAATACTACTCATAATTTACCTTGCTTAGAATTTACTATTCTTACTTTAGAAGAGTGCTTTTTAATATGAAATTAATTTAAAAATTTTATATTTATATAAAATGGTTTATGATAAGGGCATATGATAATTATTTTACCCTATGCCTCCTATGAAGTTAGAACTATAGATATATAGTCTGTAATTATGAGAATGTAAACTTATAATCAAGGCTAATGTAGTACATTCTAGATCACATAAATGTGTATGTATCTACAGTTAACTTGGAGCCTTAGAGTTAAAAACCCGTTGACCTTCATGACTGCTACCTTCTGATAAATTACTTTGAAAAATAGTAAAATCATTTTATTCTTTTTTTTAAAAGACTTTTTAGTTTATTTATTCATGAGACCCACACTGAGAGAGTCAGAGACACAGGCAGAGGGAGAAGCAGGCTCTTCTCAGGAAGCCCGATGTGGGACTCGATCCCAGGTCCCAGGATCGTGACCTGAGCCAAAGGCAGATGCTCAACCACTGAGCCCCCCAGGTGCCCCAGTAAAATCATTTTAAAGCCTCTGATTGTAGACAGTACTTTTTGCTTGATGTTAATACTCCCCAATGACTATACATACTTTTAGACTTTTCAACTAATTGTAAAATCATTGATAGCAGTCAGATATATTCTCTTTTTTTAAGTTTTTTCATTTCAGTATAGGTAATATACGGTGTTGTATTAGGTTCAGGTGTGCAATATAGTGATTCAACAATTCTCTCCCTTACTCAGCGCTCATCATTAGAGCAGTTTTTAATCCTTGTCACTGATTAAGGATCACATTCCCCACCCACCTCCTTGTCCGTGTTCTTACAGAGTTTTCTTGGTTATTTTTTTTTTCTTTTCCTTTAACTAATTGGAATTGTTTTTAAAAGCATCTGTGTTTTCTTTCTCTGTAGCTACGACAGTTAGTGAACATGTGCATCAACCCAGATCCAGAGAAGCGACCAGACATTACCTATGTTTATGACGTAGCAAAGAGGATGCACGCGTGCACTGCAAGCAGCTAGATTCATGGAAGATCATGAAGAACGTAACCAAAATTATTTAAAGTATTTTTGTGCAAATCATACCTCCCCATTTTTGTCTGGGTGTTAAGATGAATATTTCAGAGCTAATGTGCTTTGAATCCTTAACCAGTTTTCATAGAAGCTTCATTTTGTACCAGTCTAAGTCACCTTCTTGGAAACCCCAAATGACTTTGGATAGTCACTTTGCATGTTAGGAGAGTAAATGAAACTTAATGGTTTTTAATGGCTAAAGGTTTTTAGAATTATTCAGATTTTTTTTTCTGATAAATTGTGTTCAGATAAGACTTTCAGTGCCAAAAATGGAAAGTGCAGCTTGGCACTCATCAAGACAGACTTGTAACATGAGGAAGAGTATCTGAACATGTGACTTGTTTGCTTTTTCGTCATTTATGGACATTTGAGATTAGCACAATTGTGAACTTTTGTGATTTTTTTTTTAAGTTTGAAGTCTGTGTTTTAGTACTTAACATTGTAGCTTTGAAATATAATTCTTAAGATAAATGTAGACAAACTATTTGAGAAACACTTAAAATTGTTAGCTTATACATTCAAAATGCAACTATTAAATGTGAAAAAAATTGGGGGACAAAATGTGAGTCAGACACTGAAGAGTTCTTTGCTTTATTTTGTTCTGTTTTAATATCTTTGATATTCTCTCTGCATTAAAATGGTATAAATGAATCCATTTAAAAAGTGGTTAAGGATTTGTTTGGCTGGTGTGATAGTAATTTTGAAAGTTGCACATTGCCCGAGGCTTCTTTTGTGTTTTTATTATTGTTTGTACATTTGAAAAAAATCTTTGAATAATCTTGCAGTACTATATTTCGAGTTCTTTATAAATTTAAATTCTCTTCATAATTGTACACTATAATGTAAGCATATGTTTTTATTCATAGATTTTATTGAAGTTCTGATTGGTCCCCTTCAGAAAAGTTTTTGTCTTCTTCAAGTTGATTTATTTATATTGTATGTGCATTTTATCCATTTTGTTTCAGATTTTCTGAGAACATATACCCTTTAAAGAAATATTTGGTATACCAACACTTTTCCTGGATTAAACCCATTTTTTTTTTAACTTTTTAAAATTTGGGCCACCCTGTATGCGTGTCATTTTGTTTTGTTAGGGAGGAAGAAAGGATGTGTGTTGTGCTGTACCTGTGAATGTTGACACAGTTTCGATTCATTTGACAAGGTTGTAATTTTAGAATATGTTTAAAGCAATGAAAACTGGCCATTACCACAGCCAGAGTTTTATGAGATTAACATTTCTGTTGAGAAGCTTTTAAGCCAAGTACTGTATTCATGCATGAAGATGACAGAGATGGTAACGCTTCATTTAGTTTAAGGAAATGGGCAGAGTTTAGTAAATGCTGTTATGGAGATATGTTTTCCATGAATGCCTTCATGTGAGTGGCGACCAGTTCTTCACAGAATTGTGAAAGCCAAAAGGCCGAGTGGCAGTCACCGTTCAAGGACGCCATTGCCACCTATAACCCAACCTTGGGACGGATAATCCTGTCAACGTGGAAACTTCATGTTCGGAGAATACCTACCGTTAGCTGATTTAACTGCTGGGGTTTTTTTTTCCCCCCCCTTTATAAGTATTTTTCTTACAATCATTTGAATACTTTCAAGTCATTTGTAAACTTAAAAAATGGTTTATTAAGGGAAAAAGCATAAACTTTTTTTTTCTTTTTCAAAATGTAATCAGTTATGATATCTGAAGGGTAACTTTATCCTGGGATAGACAAAGGACACCTGGGTGGTCCTTTAAATGAGGGCTGGATGGATGCATTGTGTGATTTTTAGTTACAGCTTTTACACTGAGCATCCATAGATTTGTCTCCTGAAGTATGAGTAAGTAGAATTATTTTTGTTAAAATAGTGTCATGTTCATTTTATTGTAATACAGTTGAAGAGGAAATTGTTTTGTAGTTGGAACAGATAGTCCCCTTTTTCTTGCAGTCTTTAAAAATACATGAATCTAAAATTCATTAGCTTAACCCCTCACAGTGACTTTTAAGCAAAGATTTAAGCTTCTCTTTTCAGTGAGTCTCTGCTAGAAGGAAATAGCTGGGAAGAATTTAATGATCGGGGAAATCCATTATTATTTTCTAAATGTGGAAACTTTCTGTTTTGGATATTGTATCTTTTTCTTATCTAAGTGTTCATATTTTTTCCTGAAGAAACCACTGTGTAGACAATAAATTTTAATTTTGAATGAGATCATTTCAAAAAATTATGAGGATAATTAGTTTTAATTTTTATACTCACCTATAAATGTTCTCTTTATATTCCTGTTTATAAGTAAATTTTGTACTGATTAAGAAAAACATTTGAATTGAGTGGAGAAACAGTAAAATGAAAGGTACATCTGATTCTAAACCTTATTTAGATATTGGTACCAGGTCCCCAGAGGAAAATGTGGGGTAACTTTGTTTTGTATGTTGAGGTTTAGGAATGGTGGATGAAGGGTATCCCTGTATAAATAAAGTGCTCAACAATGTGCAATGATTGTAAATTTAGTAAGATATTACAGCCATTTCATGAATGCTTTTACCATTCTACATAGCACCTATCACAAAACACCTTTCTTGTATCAATATACTTCAGGTGTTGCTGTTAACATTTACATGATATTTATTTTAACCAAAATGTTATTCATATTAAATGTTTTTTTCTTTAAAATGAATGTATTATGTTTATAACCCACAAATGCATAATTATCCTATGCCTCATATTTCAATAGTACTGTAATATGGACTTCTTTTGTGAAATACTTTTATTTTGTTATGCTTCCAATACACATACTAAGAAAGATTCTGTTGTTAGCTTTGAAAATTGTATAATATCCTAATATAAATAAAAACATAAAATTAAACAATGGTTACAATAACATTTTATGTATCTGTGATCTTCCTCCCCCCCCCCCCCCAAGAGTCTGCCATTGTTTGTTTCACTTAACATGTAACCTACAGAAGAAACATTTCTTGTTCATTTCCATGACTTTACCATTTTGGGAGAAGCCTAAGAATTGAAGCCCTTCAGGGTGATCGTGGAGCTAGGACAGATACTAAGAAGTAGTTTTATAAATATGCATTAAAGTAGGGTACATCTTCATAGGTCCCTACTCTCTTCAGTACATCATTATCTGTCTTTGAATAAGAAAAGTTTTCTCAAATTATAAAATTATGAGTTTAAAGTTTAGGCCGCAGAGTCCATTCCTCTCACCTTACTTAATATGCTGCGGACAATATTAGAAATAGTTTGCAACTACCCTGTCGGTAGTCTCTTGACTTACTCTTTTCCACATAAAAAGTGAAAATTACTTTCTGTATCTGGAAATGTTGAGGCTAAAAGATCTTTATGGCGTAAAATCCTCCAGGCCGATGGTAAAATGATCATTTCACATCAGGATCACATTTCCAAATAGACTGTGGTGAAGATCACACGGATTTTGTAACCTGTGACTTGTAAAGAACCTTTCGTCTGATTATGTGTATATGGGCACACTCACATAATTGTATAGTAATAGTAAATTTTAGCCACAAGAGAGTGTTTGACTAGTTAATAAATTTTATCTCAAAAGTATGTTTGTTAATTAGAAAAGTCAGTACTGGGCATATATGTTTAATGTATTATTAATTGGTGCAGCTATATTTACCACCGAATTGGTGCAAAAGGATGACAACTGCAATGAAACCCTTAATCAAAAAACTTCCATGGAGTTGTTACATTATCTATTTTTAATTACATGTAAGTCTCTAATACAATTAATGACGAACTAAAACAAGACTCATCAGATTAATTATCGGAAAGATGTGAAAGTTTACAATGTGTATTTTATCTTTGAGAACTTCATTTGAAGGAGTTTCTGGTTTTCTTACCCATTTCTTGTTCACTTGGGTCTCTAATTTTAAACCTTAGGAGATAAGAATAAAATAAAAGGAAATTTTAAAGTTAGGCTTTGTGACCAGGAGTTTTTAAAAGTAAATTGTTTTCAACATGTTACAATGCATAAAGATAATCTTTTTCCGCTCCTTTCTAGACCCATAGTCCCAAGGATAATTTCTCTAGTCCTTACTTTTTCAAGTGTAAAGTAGGAGTATAAATTCCTAACTCTACAAAGGAATTATGACGCCTTTCATATAAAGGTCTGGATGTGATGCCTGGTACCAGGTGGGTTGCTTGTTCGATGTAGCTATTACAGTGTAGTGTTGTAGTGTAGAGAATACGCGAACGTCTTCTCTGGCTGTAGCACCATCTATTTTTGCCCTTGTTTTGCTGCGCTGGTTTCTTAAAGACCCAGAACTCTTCTCAGTTAGGGCTTAGATAGCTCTCCCTTTGGCATCAATCAGTCAGTCAATCCTACCAATCTCCCATGACTGACATAAAATGTGCTTTTTCAGGAGCCACCCAGACTGCATCCTGTACTTTGCCTTTGGGCACTTACCCATCGGTAACCAAATGATTACCTGTGTGATTCTTCGTTTACTTTCAGTCTCCCCGCTAGAGCCTAAACTCTAGATGGACAAGTATTTCTGGTTTATTCAGTGTGATGTGCCCCACTTAACACAATGCCCCAACTGTAGTCTCTCAACTTATTTGTTGAATTGATAAATGAACATTGTACTGCTGTCAGTGGAGCTGAGCACTTCATGGGGACCATGCATAGTAGATGGAAAAACAGCGGAAATCTGGAGAGGTGAGGGCCAGTAAGGGGGTAGGAGAAGCAAACAAACTAGAAGAAATATTTTAAGTTAAAAGTTGCCATAAATTACAAAGAAGTTGAAGATAGTAAGGATTGACACCTGGCTCCTGGACTTAATGAGGAGGTCATGGTAATACGGGTTCAGTAGGAGACTGGAGTGGAAGGCAAGTTCGGGTAAAAATAGGAAGGACGATGGCATATGAAGGAAAAATAGATGGCAACCAGAGGTAATCTAGATCAAGTTTTAAGATAAAGTGAACATAGATGGTTTAAAGATTAGGAGAAGTAGCACATAGAAAAGAAACTGAAGATACTGGACAAGGAGTACAGAAGGTGATAAGAAAAAGGTCCACGGAAAGTGTTTATCCACTAAGCTCACAAACGTTTGTTGTGTTTCCTCACATATTAGACCTTAAATGTTGTCTTGAGCAAAATATTTGTTTTCATGGATTTAAAATCCGGTCAGGAAGAAATAACATTTCTGGAAATCTAAATATATAAAAGCAAATTGTTATGAGTGCTGTGGAGGAAAAGAGACACTGAAGAGGTGACATTGAAGTGAAATGACCTAAAGGATGAAAAGGAGTCCGCCAAAGAACCAACACAGGGAAGAGCCTGCTGCCGAGGAAGAATGTGGGAAGTAGCTGGGCCATCTGAGAAGCAACAGATGAGAGTGGGTGAGTCGGGACGGAGTAATGCGAGGTAGATTTAGAGATGTATATTTTCTCCATATTTGCAATAATCAGTAATATAAGGGTAATAATAAAGCCATGTGATGGTAATGTAATCAGCAATATAAAAATTTCATAATAGGAATTATAAAACACTTAGAAATAATTGATCAAGAAACACGTAGAACCTGTGTGAAAGAAATTATAAAAATCTTGTTGAAGAACATCAGGCAAAGACTGAACGAATAGAAAAAGATGCTGTGATCCAGATGGGAAGATTCATATAAAAATCAAGTACTCTATAATTTAGTAATGTAGTATCTCCCTGAATCTCCCCTTTTTTGGGAACCAGATAAAACGATGTCAAAGATCATATGGAAAAAAATGAATATATGAAAATAGCCAAGAATATCTAAAACAAATAGGCTGCTCTTGACTTATCAAGGATTAAAATTTACCATAAAGGTACTTTAAGCAAGCAGTGCGGTGTTGGCAGAGGCACAAGGCAATAGGATGAATGGTGGAACAAAACAAGAAGGTCAAACACACAAGTATGACGGGAACTTGATATATGAAAGAGGATTGGTTAAACGACTGACTCTTGCTTTCGGCTCAGGTCATCATCTCAGGGTCCTGGGTTTGAGCCCTGTGTCGGGCTCCACGCTTAGCGGAGAGTCTGCTGGAGATTCTCTGCCTCTGCCCCTACCCTCCGCCCACACCTCACATGTACCTTTTCTCTCTCTCTAAAATAAATAAATCTTTAAAAACCAACTATACGGGCGTATGTGTTTGCATACGATCATTTGAACGTGGAGAAAGGTGAGGAAGCACACAGACTAGACTAAGTTGCCAGCGTTGGTTATTACCATGTGAGGGTGGATGACAAAGATAGTTAAGCCAATATGGTTAAATTCTTCAAACCTCTTTATATTTTTCTCTTCTTCAGTACAAAAGCACGAGCATTTATTCCTCCTTAAAATAACCTTTACCTTATGTTGAGTCTGAACCTCTTTTTTAAAAAAAAAAAACTTTTTAATTTGCAAATAATTTCAAACCTAGAGAAAAATTGCAAGATTAGTACAAAGAACTCCTTTAGAATTCTTCCCCTGGGTTTCTCAGATGTTAAGACTTTGCCACCCTTGCTTTATTATTGTTTCTTTTTAAATCCTTATAAGTATATAGATTTTTTTTCTGAGCCCATCTGAAAAGAAGTTACAAATATGGTGCCTCGTACCCCCAAATCTCTGAGTGTTGCTTTCCTAAAAAAAAAAATGGCCCTCTTCTACATAAACACGGGCAACCATAATAATCAGGAAAGTAATATTAATTCATCACTATTATCTAACCTACAAATCACATTCAAATTTCAACCAATTGCTCTTTACAGCAAAAATTATTAAGTTTTCCTCCAGGATATAAGCAGTAAGTGTTGCATTTAGTTGTCATGTCTCTTTAGTCACCTTCGGTGGGGAACACTTCCTCAGTCTGTTCTTTATCTTTCATGACCTTGACATTTTTTTCGGGTACAAACCAGTTATCTTGTAGAATGACCTTCAGTTCGGGTTTGCCAGATGTTTGCTCATGAAATGGACTATTACTGCCGCGAGGCTGAGTTGATCTGCACACAACATGTCAGGAAGCAAGAATGTCAATCTGTCCGTTATCGTTGGTGCGAACTTTGATCACTTAAGCTGGTGACCTTAATCATAAAGCTTTTGTTTCTTCCTTTGTAATTAACAGTATGTAGTAGGTAGGTATTTTGAGAATATGTAAATACCATGTTTTTCAACAAGCTTTTGTCCACTAATTTTAGCATCCCCTGATTATTCTTGCCTGTTTTAATTATTACTTTGATGGTTGCCAGATGATGGCTTTCCAAATGTCATTCCTTTTACATTTACTAGTTCCCGTGCTTCTGTAAGGAGTAACTTTCCCCTCCAAATCAGTTTTGTATTCCTTTATCAAATTTTAACTCTTATCTGACAATGAGAAACCTGGCTCACACGATCAATATATGCTCATTCCCACTCTTTGAAACCAGTCTCCTGATCCTACCAACTGTCTCCCTGGCCCAGGCTGCCTTCTTGGCCCAGAGCTCATTGCCTCCTCCTTCACCCGCGTGAAAGTGGCGTCACAGTAATGACTGGAGTAGAAGACGGTCTGAGGGCCTGTGAGGCTGGAAGTCGAAGTACTAGTCAGAGTACTTTCCTCCTTGCCATAGGCCACCATTCAGCGAGAATCCAGAGTTGGTTACACTGAGGGGTGGGTCACTTTGATTTGCAAGGGATTCGGCTGCATGGAATTCTTTGAAAAACTGTAGTGTGGGACAGTTGAGTGGCTCAGTGGTTGGGCATCTGCCTGGGCTCAGGTTGTGATCCCGGGGTCCTGGGATCGAGTCTCTCATTGGGCTCCCCACAGGGAGCCTGCTCCTCCCTCTGCCTGTGTCTCTCTCCCTCTCTCTGTGTGTCTCTCATGAATAAATAAATAAAATCTTGAAGAAAA